TTTTTTTTCAAAAAACACCATTTCTTCTTTTAGAGGTGTAGGCTGAAGCGTCTCTAGCAAAGATGCAAAAAATTACCTTAAATAGATCAAAAAAATTGCGCCCATTGATGTCAAGTCTACTGATGATTCCTCGGAATGGTATCGCGAGCTCAGGAATCGCAGCTGGCACGACGGTTTTGTTTGGGATACCACCGACGTACGCGCTTGCGCCTTTCACATCCAAATGATTATAACCGGGCTGGAAAATAAGCACCAATACAAGGAAGTTTCGTTTTGCTCGGATTCTTCAAAATTAGTCCTGAATACCTCAGTTAAGCAAACGATAACAATAAGTTTGCATAATAAAATAGCTGTTTTGAAGCGACTAACTTCTATTTATATTCCTTATTAAAATCTGTATTATCAGTCGCTCTACTATTATTACTTCTATTCGCCGTCAAAGCACTCATGTACATGATATTCAGTACTTTTGGGTTAAATCCTTCGTTTTTAATTCGTTGTTATTCATGTCGAAGTTGTTCCTGGACTCGCGATTTTTAGAATTTAAAAATATTGAGTAGTAATTAATGAAAATAGAATCTGAAATGCAAGTAACACACCTGGGACATTTGGTGAAATGGACGGTCACTGTCAACTTGAATTGAGGCATTACGCAAATGTCTTACGAAGCGAATTGAGTGTAACTTGCCATCCTGAACTGATGTCACAGCCCTGGAATTTTTGTACAGAATAGTTTAATGTAAAAACATATGGAGGCTTGAAACAGTGAAGCCTGCAGAACAGAGGCGGAGAGGCAAACAGGTGTTAGAGCGTAATCAAAGGATTCTTGAAGTTTACTGCACTCTTCTCATCACCAGTACACTAGGTGCTCTTCATGCTGCTCGGGCAAGCACAATCGGGTGGACAAAGCTGGCCCAGCCTAGCTCGAAAAATCAAAAAACAAGACAAAAATGACACTGCTCCCTCAGTGTATAGTTAGTATCCCTTTGCATTCTACAAAATGTTGAGTTGTGTATTCATTCAGCATTGCGATAATAATCCCTTGAGAATTAAGCTAGTAATTGTGTGTGTGCAGACATTTAACGAGAATCGGCTTCGATTTTGTTGTGATAAACAAAGTTTGCGGCAAAGATCAAAAGTTAAGACATTCAATCTGATGGAGAGTTTCCATAGTAAAAGCATAAATAATTTGATTCTGACAACAAATTTTTAGATTATTAATTCATAACTGAGTTACCTTAACTTTCCAGAACTTCATTTTACTATGTTATTATCCTCATTTCTCTCCTCATCCATATTTATCCCTTCCTTCTCACACTTCATCAGTGTTCCTTTCATCACTGTTTTCATTGCTTCATATATCCCAGTCCTATATTTCCTGGTTTTACTACTGTTGACACCTTCTTCACGTTCCCTGCCGAAGAATTTTAAGCCTCTTTTCTGGAAAAATTCATTAATAATTCCAAAAAAATAATGCATAAGGGCAAATGCAAACTGAAAGCGTGCAGCTCAGGACAAGAACATCTGAATACCTCGGACAACCTTTGCAACATTGGAACCCTTAACATCGAGTAGTTCTGGCAATTTTTCTGATATTTCTACTGCAATATCTTCATTAATCGAGTTTATCTGGTAGGCAGCTAACAGTAAATCTGACAGTCACTGAAGCAGAATAATACAACCAAACAGGAAATAACCTTGTATAAGCGATTCCAGAGCCAAGATTCCAGAAGAAGTGTGGCTGTGAAGCAATCAGCACTAGTGCTACAAAATCGCCGTTTCTGTACTGCCCAGTAGCGAGATCCAAATTGGCCCAGTAAAACACGAGGCCATCAGAATCCAAGGCTTTCAACCACACTTTTGCTTCCAACTTTTTTTTCACGTTCACGTCCAAGTTGTCATTCATCAGAAAGCCACGTCCAGTGAACAACACAGCTGACCAATTATGCTTTCCTTTAATAAAACTTGGCGAAGCTTTCTAAGTAACATGCTCTTACAGGTGCCATGCTACAGATGCGTAGAGGAGCAAAGAATCCCAATTTGGATAAAAATTAAATTACCTTAATTATAAGGATTAGCAGGAGGTCACTAAAAACTGAAAATACAAACA